TAAATTTCATTGCAAAGACGTTAATTAATCGACTAGGTACCGATTTAGGGCGTTGTGGGAGTGCTAATTCTTCCCCACACGTAACCGACTCCCGAACTCATTTTTTGGTAACGCATACCTCAATTTGTTGTTTTAATTAAAATTAATTTTTATTTAAAATGACAAAGCGTTTTTGGGTGCCCAATCACACCCTAATCAAAGATTAGTAGCGACTCTTTGAACCATATCTTTCGATCGTAAATGAAATCCAAAATTTTTTGAAATGAGAGGTCTTTTAAATCACATTTTTTTAATGTGGTTTTCAAAATCTCACTTTTAAGAAAAAAAATCGTTTCGACAGGCTCGAAATAAAAAAAAATCTTAAACTTAACTAGATTGAAGCCTTAAAAATAAAATCTTAATATATTATATTTTCGAGTTACTCACGAGCTTTTCGAGTCGAGTATCAAGTAGCTTGTTTTGGCTCGTTAAGAATTCGAGTCGAGTCCATTCGATCCAAGTATTTATCGAACATTGATCGAGTCGATCTTGTTTAACTCGAGTTGAGTGTCAAGTAGCTTGTTTTGGCTCGTTAAAAATTCGAGTCGAGTCCATTCGATCCGAGTATTTATCAAACACTGATTGAGTCGACCTTGTTTAACTCGTGATCTGTCTCGTCTCATTTACAGTCATAGTGTCTCACACACTCTCCTAACATGGACAAATCAATGTCACCCTCTCAAATTACAAACATGCAAGTTGTATGCTTCAAGATCCAACCCACTATTAGGGTTGAAGGGTGGATGCCCATAACATGCACACTTGAAGTTCTTCATCGCACCGACTAGGGGTGTAAACGAGCTGAGTCGAGCTCGACTCGAACTCAAAAACTTTAAATGTAAACTTGACTCGACTCAAAAACTCGCGAGCCTAAAATTTTCAAGCTCGACTCGAACTCGAAAGATAATATTGAAACTCGACTTGAACTCGAAAAGGCTCGAACTAAAAAAAATTATGAGCTCGATTGAAGCTCGAACTCGAACTCGAATTTGAATCTACAAAAATCTTATATTACATTTAAAATATATAAATAATTTTCCCTTGTTCCTTCTATCATCAATACATTTTTTATGATAATATGAACTCATTTCATAAACTTTAAAGGATGCATACCAAAGCAAAACAACAACTTTTGCCAATTGCCATAAAAGTAGTGTTTCAAAACTCAAAATACAAAGGCTAATCTTCCATAGAAAACAGGAAATTCAACAACAAAATATTCCAATCTACATGTTCATGTACCACAAAACCCAAATTCACAAAAAAAAAAATAACAATAACATGCCCAAGCTTCCATACATAGCACTTATAAAAAAGAGTAAAAGATAATATATAATAAAAAATATTCTATAAAAAACATGAAATCATTACAAATATGAAGTAAAAAAATACAAGATTAACAAATTCAAATATTAAACCTTTTAATTTGTCACATTATCGATTCTTTCAAATGTATTGATATAATAATTTATTTCGGTTGTTTGTCATCATTCTGCAATAATTTAAAAACTCAAATAAGTCTACATATATTTAAAAAAGTAAACAAACTTTGTTATAAGAAAATACATTTACCTTATTCTTTCTTTTCACTCCATGAAGGGATCTACACTAATCACCTGCACACATCAACATTTGAACTATTTATGGAGTAAGGGAAGACCTATAAGGATCTATTACACGACTTTCAGCACTAAATGTGGCTTCAGAAGCCACAGTAGTAATAGGAACAGCCAATACATTTACTGCTATCCTAGATAAAATACGAAATTTGTTTGACTTCTCCTTCCACCAAGCAATGACATCAAATTTCACATCTTGACTAAAGATGCACCCCTCATCCAAATATGAATCAAGTTCAAACTTCACACGCGGTACAAATGTTTCTCCACTAAAAACGTCTTGCAAAAACTCATACAAACCACTAGATGTAACATCACCTCCATGAACATCCATAGAAAATGCATGTTCTTCACTTTCTTCTACATTACAAGATGAAGAATGCATCGTCAAATATTCATCAAAAAGTTTATACATGATGTCTTTGACCTTACTAATGTTCTCCCTAACTAAATGTGATGGAAACATTTTGGGAAATGCAATTTCTACATCCCTCATTTTCAATCTAGGATCTAATACTGAACCTATTGCCATTAACAAATTGCATTCACCCCAATACTTGTCAAACCTCTCTTTCATGTTACCAACCATATTCTTAACAAAATCATCTGTAGACTCAAATTTTGAATCCAACAACACTTTAATTCTTTGCACCTCTCCAAGAAACATGTTAGAAGTTGGATATTCAGAGCCTGATATAATGTTAGTAGTGGCTTTAAACACTTTCAAAATTTCAAGCAGTTTTTCAATTTTCCCCCACTCATCATCATCAAGACAATGCTTATAAGAATGATCATGCAAAGCATATCTAGGGAATACCTTTCTGAAAGAGGATGTTTTTCAAAATTTCAAGCAATTTTCAAATGAGTAGTGCTCTTAGATTTCAAGACAGAAAGAGGATGTTTGCAATACTTACACCTTACTTTACTTTGTTCGTTTATGATTTCAGGTTCAAAGAAATCATCCCACACCTTTGATCTTCTTGGTCTCTTAAAGGCTTTGAAAGGATTTTCAACCTCAACTTCTTTTGTTGTGCTGTCAACAGTAGGTTCAGAAGCTTCTATATTGCACTCTTCTTTGTTATGTTCATCATCAACATTCACAAAAAACTCTTCAACTCTTGAAACACCAATGGGTATTGAAGAACTTTGTGGTTCACTAGACATATCTGAAAATACAAGTGACAATATAAACAAAAAATTAAAGGAATATTTATTTAATGATAAACAAACTCATAAACAAACTCACCAAAGGGGAAATGTACTATTCGATCGTAGGAACCGAGACATGAAAGTATAGTCAAAGTTCACCAACACACAGACGCAAGCATTTGGAATGCTTCGATCGATTCCTCAGTTTTGGAATGCTTCGATCGATTCCTCAGTTTTGGAATGCTTCGATCAACTTTCTTTTGTCAGTTCCCAACACGGCCATAAACAATTCTTGGATAGCTCACATTTAGGTTAGCATGTGCTTGGACAGTTCCCAACACACTTGATGAAATGAAACGACTATATTATCTGAATTCTGGTCGTGAATTCAACAATAATCAATTATTAATTGATTTTTTTTGGGTAGTGGGGCTCGTTTACAATGTACAAAGAACCAGCTGGTCTTAATAAAATTCTGTTCGTGTATTAAGAACCAGCTGGTCTTCAACAATAATCAATTATTAATTGATTTTTTTGGGTAGTGGGGCTCGTTTACACATTTTATTAAGTTGAATGCTTTTCAAAAAAAAGTTCCTAATACAGTTCCCAACAATGAAATTGGTACTATATTATCTGAACACTCCCCGTTTGCGTTCCACGTGGATTGCATTAACATTTGGTAAATAAAAAAAGGAGGCAAAGCGTGAAAAAAGCATTGTAAGTAGTTAAAGAAAAGCTTAAATAATTGTTGGAATGCTTGAATAATAACGTCTGCCCATACAAAGCATTGAATAATAATCGTTGAAAAGCTAATACATTTGAATTATTCTTGCAATTATATATAATTTTTTTATTAAACTTTAAAATTAAACATTTACAACCATTCCTTTAATTTTCGTATTTCTAAGTAAACCTTACAATTAATTTGTTTTAAATTTATTTAAAGATTGGTTATTTATCGGATCTACCGTGTTAAATTGATAAAAACATCTTGATAATTATATAAATTTAATCTAGTTGCACACATAATTTTTTTTTCGAAAAATTGTTTAAAATTATAAACACTAAACCGTAAATCATAAATCCTAAACACTAAACCGTAAACCATAAACCGTAAATCCTATCACATAAATTATAAACCTTAAATCCTAAATCATATCACATAAACCCTAAATCCTAAACCCTAAATCATATCACATAAACCCTATACCCTAAATCCTAAATCCTAAACCTTATCACATAAACTATAAACCCTAAATCCTAAACCTTGTCACATAATTAGAAGGAATTAGATGGCTTAGTGAAATTGTTTTTCTTTTGCTTTTTGAGGAACAAAAATCTTAACCCTAAACCCTAAATCATATCACATAAACTCTAAACCTAAACCATAAATCCTATCACATAAACTCTAAACCCTAAACCCTAAATTATAAACCCTAAATCCTATCACTTTATATGGTACAAGTTAGTAGTAGGGATGATCATTTTCTCTCAAATATGATTTGATGCCATTAATTTTGTTAATTAAGATATTAATGTAAGTCTAAATGATTTTCTTTCTTAATTCTTTATAAAATCGATTATACTCTATTTTGATATATATTTTTTAAATTATTAATATTTAAATTGAATCATATTTTTTATTATATTATATGTATTATCAAACAAAAAATTAGTTACGAGGTAAGTACAATATAATATACTGATATTAAATGCTCAAACCCTTGATATTTATGATATTTGAACTCGAAACCTCAAAATATAACAACAATTTAAAAAAAATTGTTATTGCAAATATTATCATTAGAAATATATTAAATATTTGTCATTAGATAAATAATTTTTTTATTAATTTAAAATAAATATAAGAATATTTATTTAAAAATAATTGTTAACCATTTTCAATTCAAGAATATTTATTCATCAATAATGTAATTTTAATAATGTAATTTTAAAAAATCTAAAATTATAATATAACATTTTTTTCGAGCTGCTCAAGTTTTTCGAGTCGAGTATCTAGTAGCTTGTTTTAGCTCGTTAAGAACTCGAGTCGAGTTCAAGCTCAAGTCGAGTCCATTCGATATGAGTATTTATCGAGTCAAGATCAAATTAATTTCGAGTAGTTCACGATCTGTCTCGTCTCATTTACAGGCCTAGCACCTTTAATGAAATAAATAACCAATCCACCGTTAACTACTTCCCCGTACTCTCAAATTGCTATTGCTATAAAAAAACGGTAGCACCAACCCACGCGCCACCTTTACTTCCGTCTCACTCGTTACCCATGGCGCCCCCCGCGACCATTCCGATGACTACCTCTCAATCTACGGCGGGTACTGGTGCCCAATCGCAGCCTCCGATAGCCACGCCCGCGTTTCGCGCGTTCCTGTCGCGCCTTTCCTCCTCGATTCGTCAAGGATTCTCCCAACGCCGTCCTTGGTACGAGCTCATAGATCGGTCCGCCATGGCCCGGCCCGATAATTTAACAGACGCCTATTCCCGGATCCGCAGAAACCTCTCATACTTCAAGGTCAATTATGTTACTCTGCTGGCGGTTGTGCTCGCTTTCTCTATCCTATCGCATCCCTTCTCTCTGCTCGTCCTCCTTGGCCTCCTTGCCGCTTGGGTCCTCCTTTACCTCTTCCGACCGTCGGATCAACCTGTTGTGATCTTCGGCCGTACGTTCTCCGATCGCGAGACGCTTGGCTCATTGATGGTATTGACCGTCTTCGTCGTCTTCTTGACCAGCGTTGGATCGCTCTTGATCTCTGCGCTCTTGGTTGGTGTCGCCATCGTTTGCTTACACGGTGCTTTTAGGGTTCCAGAGGACTTGTTCTTAGACGATCAGGAGCCCGCGAACTCCGGATTCCTTTCATTCCTCGGCAGCGCCGCCACCTCTGCAGCTGCTGCGGCCGCACCTGCAGTTGCCTCACGCGTGTGATCAACAGGTCTTTCAAGCATTACATGCTTATGATTTTTTTTACTTCCTTCGCTTATGGCAAATCGATTAGGATTTACTCTTTAGAATATTCAATTGTTACTTAATGTCCTTTGTATGTAGATTTGAATCTGAACTTGGATTAAGAGTTAGATCTTCATCTTATGGTGTTTTGATTTGGATACTGTATTAATTACCTTCGGAATTTTGATTTTTATGAATCAGATTTTGCTTAAAATTGTTTACGAAACAATTGTATTTGTATTCATGTTCTATTTCTCAAGGCCTTATACAGTTATACTGCTGTTTTTCAGGTCTAATAGCAATTGTTTGTTGGAAGTTATGCTTTAGTAATTACTTGTTCGTGAATATAGAGGTCTATGTTGCTTGGGTCTTCATTTTTTTTGAAGTAATATGTCCTTGACTTTGTCCAATGAATGTTCAGACATGGGTCTGAGGAGATAACCCTTCAAGTATATGAAAAAGCTTATAAAAAATTGAACATACCCATGTAGGATGTACTTATATTCGACACTCATACTCCAGTGCAATTAAACATAGGTGGGGGTTTGGCCTAGCTAACTGGTTTGTCCTGTACTTTAGCTCTGATTGTTGCTTAAAGATTAAATTGTGTATTGATTCTAGCTTACGTGAATGTTGGGCATTAATAGCTTGATTGGTTAACATCTTCGATGATTAGGTGATTCTGATTCTTTAGAGATGCCGTCATAGTGTATGCTATTTGATTTAGTAGAATCATCAATCAACTTGTAGTAATTGAATTTCTGTGGAATTGGGGTTAAAACTATTCCATATTTGTTCGAAAATGGTACATCTTGCAAGATGTGTGAGAACAATGTTGTTCAAGTGTCTGTCATCATGTTATGAAGCTAGTACCGATTCAAAATTTCTGCTTTTGAGTTTACCAAATAGGATTAGTAGTAACCGTCTGCTTACTGACCTTCAAAAATAAAAACCTGTCTACTTACTGGTGTGCTTAATGATTTAATATGATAGTACTTGTTAGATAACACATGTTTTATGGTCTTCTCTACTTTTACATGCATGAAATCTCGTAGGTTCTCGGCCAAGTAAAATTGCTATCCTTGATAGTGCTAAAATCATGAAATACCTTCAAATGTAGTCTAATGAGATGTTCCTTTTGTTTTATGTTCCTACATACAGAATAGCATCGTTTATTGCCTGATCGTCGGTGTATTAGGTGTAATGATAAGGAGGTTAAATGCCAGCTGTGGTAACATTAAATCATTTATTGCCTAATCGTCGGTAATATATTCGTCATCAACTGTTCAAAGTTGTTTTGTTCCCATCTTCCGAGGGCAAAGCGCCTCTTATCATTAGTGCATAATGTAGTTTCTGTGACATTAAAAAATGTTTCTGCTGGCTATTGTCGTTGCATCTGATAAACCAGGCTTGCGGTTTATTTATAGTGAAGCGAAAATAGAAATGGTTTTCTTCTGAATGCTTTTTCTTTAAACATGAAACATTCTGGTTGTCTATGTTGCTCCCACTGTTCATTTTGCTTGAATTATTCATGCGAAATCTGTGTTCAACGCAAATTCTGACATGAGTATAGAGATATGGCGAGCACAGGGAAAAAAAGGTTGAGAACCTCTCATGGTTTCCCGCTCTGGGCATTTGGCTGATCATATTAACTTTAGGTGAGGTTAGGGGAACAGATTACAATGTCATTTGGATGGTATTGTATTGTTGCCATTTGTTGGGTGGGAGGGATTGTGGCCCTTCCAAACTTTTTGGTAGAATAACATTTTAAGTCATTGTTAGTTTATATATTAATCAAATAAGGTCTTATATTTAATAAATCCTCACATCTCTCAATGTTTGATCTTAGTTCCGTCTCTCTATATATATGGTTCAGTAAAGTTCACCATGAACAGTGTAATGCCATGGGGATATGTATGTATGGCATGTGTTTGGTAGATACCATGCATGGGTTGTAAATGCAGTGATTGGAATTTCATGTCTGGTTGAAGGAATCAGGTTAAAACTACAGTTAAGTTTGTTTGAAGTGCTGTACCATTTAATGTGGAAAAATGGGTTGAGAATGGAAGCCATAAATGCATTCACATGAAACCCATAATGTCGGATTTGGACTTAACAACTCAGCTTCAAATCTCATACAAACGTATCATAAAATCATTATTAATTTATGAAATCCAACACTTTATAACGCAAAATCACATTTCAATATCTTATCTTAACCTCGTATCACTCCCTCAAAATCCTCACATCCCTCGTAATTAACACAATCATTTTACCTTTTTCTTATCTTAAAAATGTTTAATATTATTGTTTGAATTTTCAAATTAAAAATCTAATAAAAGTGATTTTCATATAAAATGAGTTTTTTTTTTCATAACAATTTCGGGTGAAGATTAGAATTTGAATCTTAAAATTATTGTTCTCGAGAGCCAATATTAAACTAGCATTTTGGATGTGAAATGAAGTTATTGACGAGACACTTAAATGAATGAAAAAAATTATAAACTATCTAATTTTTGGCACGATATTAAAATTAGACCCCAATTTTATTAAAATAATCATTTTGATTTTATTTTTTTTAACATTTTAGTTACTAAGTTTTCATTTTGAGGCAAAAAAATATCCTTCTATGAATGAAAATCATTAATTAACAAACTATTAACGTTCTAAAATAGGGGCATTTTAACCTAGAAAACTTTGAGTGTTAAAATGCTCTAGAAAAAAAGAATAAAGACCAAAGTGACTATTACGTTAAATGTTAAGGGTTTTTTATGGTAAAATCAAACATTGGTGGTCAAAACATTCCAAAAAATTGGGGTCAAAATAATTATTTTGATAAATATGCTTTAATTTTTTTAAAAAATAATCAAACGTTTTCAAAAACACTTAAACTTAGTTTTTTTAATAATTTGAAGTGATTATTATGTAGAATTTGCTCAAAATGTTTCGTAGTCCATTAATATCGTACTTATACTTTACAACTATAATTATTTGAATCTAAATTTTTAAAAAGAACAACATTATCTTTTATCAATCTAAATTTAAATATGATTCAAGAAAAACATCACAAATATAATACTATTATAATCATCTCCTGCAGCCTGCAGGTGTCTCTTGGGTAGGACCCATTTCAAAAAAGATAGCCGTTATAAGAGGAACGCCAGTCAAAACGTAGACTTAAAACGACATTGAGAAATTCGAAATCCCCTCCAAAAATAAAAATTAAAAAAAAACTAGCCGCTAGAGGCTACCTTATTACATCTTCATCAGACATTTGTCTTCTGTTTTGGTTTTATTTTTCCTTTTCTATTTTGTCCCAATGCCAAAAGATTCTCTCTTTCAGAGATCTTCACGTGGTTCTTTCCCTGTAAAACCCCACCTCTGGTAAAGTTTACCCATTTCCTCTGTTTCATTCCTCCCATGCCTTCAAACTTCACTTAAACCCCATTTCTAAGCTGTTTGCCACTCATTCATTAATGGCAATGCATAAACAAAACGATGAACCAAAGGGTATTTCTCCTTTCACCCACATTTTCTTTCTTGTTTGTTTCTTCAGTTGCTTCTTCATTGAACCAGTTTCAAGTGATCAGCAGGGTTGGGATGGTGTTGTCGTCACAGCAGCTGATTTCCAAGCCCTTCAAGCGTTTAAGCAAGAGTTAATCGATTCCAAAGGGTTCTTAAAGAGCTGGAACGGTTGGGTCGGGATCAAGTGTGCAAAAGGTCAATTCATTGTTATTCAACTCCCATGGAAAGGTTTAGGTGGTAGAATTACAGAGAAAATCGGTCAGCTTCAAGCTCTTCGTAAGCTTAGCCTCCACGATGATGTAATCCAAGGCTCGATACCTCGTGCATTGGGCGTTCTTCCTGATCTTAGAGGTGTTCAATTGTTCAAGAATAGGCTTTCGGGTTCGATCCCGGCTACATTAGGGTCATGCCCTTCGCTTCAAACTCTTGACCTGAGTAACAATTCACTCACTGGTGTAGTCCCTGAGAGTCTTGCAAATTCTACTAAGCTTTATAGGCTCAACTTGAGCTTCAATTTGATTTCGGGATCGGTCCCGGTTAGTTTCGCTCGGTCAAGTTCTCTTATTTTCCTTGACCTTCAACCCAACAACCTCTCTGGTCCAATCCCAGATTCTTGGGGTCCCCAAAATCATTCCAGGCTTAGAAATCTAGACCTTTCTTATAATGCAATCAATGGAAGCTTGCCTGTTAGTCTCTTCAATCTTTCCTCTCTTGTTGTTTTGAACCTGGAAAGCAATGGCCTTGAAGACCAAATCCCTGAATCCATTCAGGGTTTACACAACCTTTCAGTTCTTGTTTTGAAGAGAAACAAATTGAGTGGTCCAATTCCAGCATCTGTTGGGAACATTTCCAGTTTGACTAAACTTGATTTGTCGGGGAATAAGCTCAGTGGAGAAATCCCATTTTCACTAGCAAATCTCAAAACTTTTAATTCCTTCAATGTTTCATATAATAACCTGTCTGGTCTTGTTCCAGCTCCACTGTCCCAAAAGTTCAACTCGAGCTCTTTTGTCGGGAATATCGAGTTATGTGGATATAGTGGATCACCTCCATGCCCTTCTCCACCACCTTTGCAGAATCTACCTTCTTCGCCGTCGAGAAACCGAGACATAAACATCGAAAACTTAGTACCAAAGACATAATCCTGATTGCTGTTGGAACCCTTCTTATAGTTCTCCTTGTTCTATGTTTGATTTTGCTGTGCGCCTTGATTATAAGGGCTACATCGAAAGAAAAAGACGGTCAAACAACGACCCCAGCCGCTTCTTAGTCTTCTGCAGGCGAGAAGGGGATTCCAACTCCGGCTGGCGAAATCGAACCGGGAGGAGAAACTGGTGGGAAACTAGTTCATTTCGATGGTCCCATGGTGTTCACTGCTGATGATCTTCTATGTGCCACTGCTGAGATTATGGGGAAAAGTACTTATGGGACTGTTTACAACGCCACATTAGAGGATGGGAACCAGGTAGCAGTGAAGAGATTAAGAGAGAAGATTACCAAAGGTCAAAAGGAATTCGAAACCGAGGTTAATCTTCTAGGCAAAATCCGGCATCGGAATCTTCTCGCGATGAGGGCTTATTACTTGGGACCTAAAGGAGAAAAGCTTCTTGTTTTTGATTACATGCCTAAAGGGAGTCTTGCAACATTCCTTCATGGTAAGTAAAATTTTAACTATTTTGACTGATTAAAGGGAAGTCTAATTATGTTTTC